TTTTGGTATATGAGCATAACTAAGTTACTTAATTAGGATAATGTTGCAGATGGGGCATGTGATAGATGGTAGGCGGTTTACTCGTCGTACATAAATTCAATGTATGCTTACAATTTTGGTATATGAGCTGCAAGTCAATTGCGATAATATTTTAGATGGGGCATGTGATAGATGGTAGGCGGTTTACTCGTTATTCATAAATTCAATGTATGCTTACAATTTTGGTATATGAGCTGCAAGTCAATTACGATAATGTTGCGGACGGGCATGAGATAGATGTTCGATGGCTTGCTTGCCATCATTAATAAATTCATAATTCGATGTATGCTTCTTGTTACCGTACATTCGACGTAGGAAGTAAGCAGGATTGTGCAGCAAGAGTGAACGCCAAGCTTCTAAATTAGGACCCTCTTATCTGGGGAGCGTTCGCTTGGAGGGGTGGCATTGCGAACATTTTGATGGCATTTTTAGTTGGTCTGGGGTGGCAGTTTCTTCAGAACAGCATTTCATTTTCTGGAATGAAGGCTCAAAACTGCCATCCTCCCAGAAAATGCCATGTTGTTCTGAAGAAACTGCCACCCTCGATACAACTGAAACTGCCATGAAAAACGTTCGAAATCCCATGCTTTCCTGGCGAACGGCCGCCAGTTAGCTTTTCCGCTAAATTGTGGGTCATGTAGTGGTCATGCCACTCAGCAAGAGCAGGGCGAGCAGAGTGGTCGGAGGTTCTGGTGAGTACATAGATTGACATGGCAGCAGCTCTCTGCATGACGTGGTACAAGGAACCTCCAAACGGTGTCGTGGGCATTCCATAGGCGCCACATCCCAACAGCAAAGGGGGAGGGATCTAGGAAATGAAGCGCTTCACTGCGATCATACAATTAAGATTACACTTGGATAGTGAAAGTGGGATCAGTGGTGGTACATAGATCGTAGGTCAGAAAGAAGTCATGGAGGCAGAGGCTAGAGCCAGTTCTGTTTCATCAACTGTCTCCCTCCACACAGCTTCCCTTCTGTGCTGTTGTAGCTGATGTACATGGGCCACAAGCTAGCTCTTCAGCCCAATTGCTGCGAAACCGTGCAGCCCAACATACATTACCATGCCCGTGAGACTTCTCTAGTGAGCTGCTGACTGTGGGCACACAATAGGGCTAACTATGAAATTATTAATCTGCAACACTAAACTATCTCAACTTAAGTAATGCTTCTTCGGGTCAGCTTCACGAGGAGTAATAACAAAGGTGCAACCACCCTGATCTATGTCTTAACTCAGCATAAAAATCTTTACTTGAGCAATGAATGCCTTCTTGGAGTAATAGTAGTGATAGTCTTTTGAAGAAGATATTATTTTGAATATGTGCTAGCACATGGCCATTTGATTGCTCTGATTTTATGCATTACGCGGAACTTTGGTATTCTTCTCAAATTGTTCTGACAATAATACTTCTCGACTCAAATGATATGTTCTTGTATACTAACTGCAGCTTACATTATGTTTACGCAGATGGCAGAATTAAGCAAAAATATAAGGGATTTGAAGTGTATTCTGTATGGCAACGGCGAACAGGAGCCTGTCACTGAAGCTTGCGTGCAATTGACCCAAGAATTCTTCAGAGAGAACACTTTACGATTATTAATTATGTGTGTTCCGAAAGTAAACCTGGAGGTATTTAACTTGATTTTGTATTTTTAGATCATGACAAGAGTATATAAATATTTTATTCAATAGATAACTTTATTGTTATTATTCGGATGTCTTAATCTCATAGATAACATTTATTTGCACTTTGGATTGTTGCAGGCAAGGAAAGATTCTACTCAAATTGTTGCAAATTTGCAACGACAGCAAGTCAACTCAAGGATACTTGCATCTGAATACCTTGAGGCAAATAAAGATCTTTTGGACACCTTAATTTCTGGGTAAGTCCTAATAAGTAAATAAAAGCTACACAGCGGTGCTTCCTTTAAAAGAATGTTTCTTTCCCGAATCTTGATTTTTTATCTTCCTATTTTTATTTTGTGCTTGTTACTGCTGCTTGGGCGCTTGCATTGACCTTCATGGCTCCATGTGACTGAAAGCTGCGTGCTTCCGTGCTCCATATATCACACTTTTAACTTAATAAATCAGAATGACCAAATGAAGACGCATAATATTGTTTCCTTTAAATTTGAAGTCATACCATCGGATGCATGTATTCTTCTGGTATTTATGAAATACCCCCTCCGTCTCAAAATAAGTGTTTCAACTCTGTACTAACTCTAATACAAAGTTGTACTAAGTTTGAGACACTTATTTTGGGATACTCCCTCCGTCCGGAATTACTTGTCATCAAAATGAATGAAAATGGATGTATCTAAAACTAAAATACATCTACATACATCCATTTCAATGACAAGTATTTCCGGACGGAGGGTTTATTACTAAATATAATTTAGCGAATGTTTATGCCCCCATTAGTTCTTTTGTGGCTTGTGTCACATGATCAGTCAGTAACTGACATTCACGGCCATCTCACAGAAATAGTACTGGGATGATTGTCGAAGTTTGATCTAGCTTGAATTCCTTTGGATTCATGTTCTATTCTATTTTCATGTATCAGGCTACATGATACATGATGCTAGTGTCTTTATATTTTTGAGACATAAAATTTGGCAATACATTTGCGAAGTAAGCAACTCATCTACCAAATGTGGCCAGTTTTGGGAAGTTGCTTTGGTTATATGGTTATTGTTTCCAACTATTGCTTCTGTTTTGTTAATAACTTTTGTAATACTGTTGCTTGATTCATTTATTTCTTGACCTCACAGGTACGAGGATACAGAGGTTGCTTTACATTATGGTGCAATGTTGAGGGAATGTATTCGCCATCAGAGTATTGCAAGGTGCCATTACTGGATTGGAATGTTGACATAACTGTATAAACCCATCACACATATACCTATCAACCAAGATCCGTAGGATGAAGGCTTCTTTTATGGGAGCAATACAGGATAACTCTAATGGTATCTACATTATAATAGCAATTTAGAGAGCCCAAAAGAAAGCCAGGCACAAGACACCGAAAAAGCTTTTATAAGTTGACCCCACCACTACAAAATTCTTAAGATATTTATAAAGAGGTCGAAATATGCATTCCACATTATCCACACGTACCCTTTTTTGTTGGAAAGGGTCACGGAGCACACTAGAGTTACTACCCACGAATTGAAAACTGAAAATGTATGTCGCAGACCCCTTTACGGTATACCTGTGGCTGCAAACTTTGGAGGCTGTTTTTGTGTTGGTACTTCATGCACTATATATAAAAAGTTTCGAGGGATATGTGTCAACACCATTAGAAGACAGCAGTGCATATCTAACGCCAAGGTCCTGTTGTGTGAATGGTTCTTGTATGCATGTAAAAGCAGTACCTCGCAGACATGGCGAGCTTTTGTAGTGTGATCTGGTTGATATTGGAAGTGTTTTTTGAGCTCCATTCTTCTCCAGAATAGTATATGCACTTAACAGAGCTGTATGAATTGCGAGTTGCAGAAATGATGCTTGATTATCAAAGTATTTGTTCATTGACAGGTATGTTCTAGAGTCTGATCACATGAAGAAGTTCTTTGACTATATACAAATTCCAAATTTTGACATAGCATCAGATGCTTCTGCAACCTTCAAGGTGACTTGCTTTTTCATTTCCTGCTGTTTGCTTCAAATATTGAATTATGAATTAAACAGAACTTGTGTTTGCTCAGACATTTAACCGCCTTTGAGCATTATTGCTTCTGACATCTTTCAGTTTTTTGCTATGCATAGTAATGAGCATTGATAAAATATCAATCTCATTGTTATCACTGTTACTTTGATAAGTATTCAAAAAATATATGGAAATTGATTGGGTGCCCAGTGGATGCCGTGCCCTGCACACACGGTGCGTTGGGTGTGGGTGGATGAGAATGAATGGAGACGCATGTAATAAGCATGGCAGACTGTTATCACCAGAAAATAACAGCACAAACCCATACACAATCATTATGACCTGGAAATGGTACACATGTACAGGTCGCATCCACGGAGTTAAATTTAAACTTTGAAATTGTGTGTGAGAGAGGCGTTGGTGCTGCGCTTGGAGGCAGGGCACCTCTCTCATAGCTCGTCAATAGAGCGGAAGCACGTACATTCACAGCAGCTACATGCGTATATACTTGAGCACGTGCGTGTGCTACATGTTGAGCCAAGGTCATGAGCGCATGTGGCGTACTGGCGTTTGACATGCTGAAGCACAGTGACATGCATGTGCATGGGCACATATACGCACAAGCTACATGGGCACAACACAACTCCATGAGACGTACACATCCATTCACACAGAGTACAAGAGGACACACATATGCTCCATGGGCATGTATAAGCTCCATGGACACACTGCATCAATACACACGTAACTGTCCATGACACGCACGCACGTTGGTCTGACGTAATTTGCATTTCTCTGGTCTATGATTTATCCATGGTGGGTCGTTCATGCATGTGTGCAAACAATATAGCTGCGCCACTTGTCCGGGCTTGCCATGCAGCCTGGCACGCGGTGGGCGCTGAGGTAGTCGGTGTGACCCAACTATCTCTGATGTGGCAGGAGTTTGGCCATTAATGGCCCGACCTGCCGACGCCCCACCTAATCGCTCCGGGCATGGTACTAGCAACATACAACACCATGCCCCCTCGGGCACCAGATAAGGTAGCGCTGTTGCTTGTTTGGTGTGGCACAATTGGCAGCTGTTGCCGTTTCAAGAAGCCATACTTTTGGAAAAACAGTTAAGCTGACTTGCTTTATCCACCCAACTTGTATCTTAGCCCTGCCAAGGATCATACAAGATGACAAAACTATATTGGCAAGGAATGACTTGACGAGTTCAAAGTTCCGAATAAAATATGGGAACATGTTGGCTTGGGTAGTTCTTAATTTTACATCCGCATTTGTGTTCCTCCTCAGATATTCACATATGGTTTTTTGCATTCATTCTCTTCTACTTGGAACAGGAACTTCTGACAAGGCATAAAGCAACCGTGGCGGAATTTCTTTCGAAGAACTATGACTGGGTCAGTACGCATTATCATTAAACTATATGCCATTAATTTACAGTATTGTATTCTACATCGTATTTCATGCCTTGGTCAGTGCCAAATTGTCAATGAGATTATTTCTGTGTATTTGCCATTAATGAATGTTCATGAACGATATGGTTCTTTATAATGCTCTCTTCATGTCATGGACATTTCGTGGATCATATGCAATTGAATGGCATTTCCTCAGTCTATAAGCTGGCTGGATTAGTAGCTTATTTTGCTATTATGATGCATTTGATGATAAGTTTCTGTTATGCATATGTAATAAATGCTATCATGCGGCATAGTTCGTACATAGTTTCTGCATTCTGTTTGGCCTCATTTGATTCTTTAGGCCCCTTTAGGATGTTTGTAGTGTTTCCACTCGTAAACAAATTACAATTATAAATTACTTGTCCCAACAAATACCGTTGGATACGGCTATATTTTCATTCCTCTGCAAAAATGGTGTTTGGGAATGAAACAATGTTGCAGCTTTTTCCCCGATCCCAAAACCTTGCCTCTTTCTCCCCAAATGGGCGGTGTGCTGTTTGCCTCGCCGAGCTCGTGAGTAACTTGAGACTGATCAGGTGGAGCCTGTCCTTTCTCAGAAAAAAAATCAAGAGCTCCCGAGCAGTTTATTACTTTACGGGTGTAATCAGGGAACACTGTTTTTTGGGCTGGTTCAAAATTAGCCATCCAAAAACGTTTTTAGGCTTTCCTGTTTCTTTTTTCAGCTCTGTAAAATTACACTGGTATTGGTACCTCTATGCCAAACAGGGCCTTATCCTTTTTCCTTTTCCTCAGTTCTTTGCAGAATTCAACTCTAGGCTGCTTTCATCATCCAACTACATAACAAAAAGGCAGGCTATCAAGGTATTACTATTTTGTGTGTAGTGGCGGTAAAATTACACTAATTTTGTATGTAGTGGCGGTACTGTTTACCATCATTCTGCATTTGCTATATATTGTGCTTTTCTGTTAAAAGTTATAGTGTGTATTGTTCAGCATGCCTGACTAGTGTCAGTACTCGGTAGACTGTATGCCAAAATGCTCTCTGTAGCTTGCATGCCTTCAATCATCATTCAAATTAGCTTGCGGTGAGCTTTCATGAACCGTTTCCTGTCCTGATAGTAGCAACCAGGAACATCTCGGTTCTTGGAGTGAACTGCTGCACAGCAAGATAACTGAAAGTTGAAAATTGTGGTAAAAGTCTGTTTGATTTTTCTGATTCAAATTGAAACTTTCAATTTAAAATATACTCCCTCCGTCCCAAAATTCTTGTCTTAGATTTGTCTAAATACAGATGTATCTAATTACGATTTAGTGTTAGATACATCCGTATCTAGACAAATCTAAGACAAGAATTTTGGGACGGAGGGAGTATTAGCTAGAAGAATCAGTACCAACTAGCCTAGTACCAACTAGCAAGATCCCACACACAGCCTATTCCAGGTTCTACTCCCAGAACAGGCAGTAATGAGGCATGTTCAGCCTTTCAATTTTTGGAGCTGTGGGACCCACATGGCAGAGATGTACAGTACTCCCTCCATCCCGTAATGTAAGACGTTTCTTGACTCTAGTGTAGTGTCAAAAAACGTCTTACATTATGGGACGGAGGGAGTAGTTAGCAAAAAAGGCAGGGCGGAGATAGTCCCCTCCGCACCAAGGGAATAAAGGCGTTGCCATTTGCCACTGGCATGTTGTGTTTTGTTCATGGTTTATCAGCTTTCAAAAACAAACATTTTGTCTGGCATTTTACTGGGATCCACTGAAAACGTCCAAAATTCTGACACCTACTTACCGTTAGGTTTTATTTAGCCGTATTAATTTATTTTCATATATCATTATTAGTTTATTGAGTATCTTGTATACATTTTCTATTGAATAAATTTTCAGTTTTAATATTTTTGTTTTCTTCCAGCTGTTGGGAGATATGCTCCTTGATAGATCAAATTCTGCAGTCATGATGCGATATGTTGGTTCAAAGGATAATCTTATGATTCTGATGAATCTTTTAAGGGTAAGTTTGCTGCATTTATAACCTGTAAAAGTTTCAGCGTGCAACTTCTAATGTCATCATCCATGCCAGGAGGTTGCTGTTTAAAGCACATCCTAGCCTGTATTGGCTGATATTAACAAACATCCCCAATCCAACATATTATCATTGTATCTTTTCTATACTGTCCTTGCATATCCTTGGATCTGATATATCCAATATACAGCTATCCTGAAGCTGATCTGAATATGCTAGGCCTTAGGCATTTATGCATCGAAAGTTAAATTCCAAAGAAATGATAAAAACTTCCGTCATTTTTTCTGTTCGAAGGAATGCATGGAAACAGGTTTCACAATCTTATTTTGATTTTTTTTGTGAACTTCTTTGATCTAGTCTCTGAAGGGCTACCGGTACTCGTTTCCTTCCAGTTTTCACTTATTCACGAAGTTTTCATGTGTAGCTGGTTAGTCTTTTTTCTTTAAACTTCACAAAATCACCATGTCATAGATAATTCCTTTGATGTGTCAGTTGCCTCTTGTATTGAAATCAGAACTCCAAACAATATTAGCTGGAGTAGACTAGCATTGGGCTTATAAGTTGGCATCCATTAATTTCACTGGGATTTCTGCTCGAAACCTAGGGAATATAAATGGTCCTTGCTGGGTTATGAGAACTTTTCTCCCCAAGATCTATTATAGAATGTTGCTTATGTTCCTGCCGGTTGTGGGTTGTCCTGTGATTCAACGAATGATGGAACTTCAAAGAATAAAGATATGATGTACTTGTTATTGTCACGAACCAAATGTTGTTTTAACAGGATTCTTTGGTCATATAAAGCTACATTACCGTTCAGTTGCACGAATTTCATTCAGATGCTCATAGTTGAAATGCAGATCAGCACCTTACTGTGTCGTTGCATGATTATCTGTCAATATTACTGTGTTGTCAATTTGCTTATTGTTTTCTCAAAAATTTCAGGACTCGAGCAAAAATATTCAAATAGAATCTTTTCATGTGTTCAAGGTGGGTACTGACATCGTAAATAATCTGGCTCCTGTAAATATTTGTTGTTTGTACTCATGCTGATTATCATGTTGCTACATATTTCAGCTATTTGCTGCAAATAAAAACAAACCAGCTGAGGTTGTGAACATACTAGTCACAAATCGAAGCAAGCTTCTTCGATTTTTTGCCGGATTCAAAACTGACAAAGGTAGTTGCATGCTTGTCTGTACTTATGTCTGCACCTGTTTTCTGTGGTTCAGTTTTATTTTGAGCTTATCAGCTCGTATACGTTATTACCTCAATTGAGCCTTTGCTTATTCTAGGATTTAGTTTTTGCTTGTAACAACTCCCCATGAACTGATAGGTCGTTTACGATTTTGTAGAGGATGAGCAGTTTGAGGCAGACAAGGAGCAGGTCATAAAGGAGATATCAGCATTGTAACTTCCCTGATGTAGCTTGCGGAAGATTACAAGTTAGGCCTTGCTTAAAGTGGCCTCTCGTGGATTACTGTATTTACCTCACCATGAGAGGCTCTTGCATGGATCCACCGTAATATTTATTAGCGAAGCTGTTTGTGTAATAATAGACTTCTGTGTGTTATTATGTTGGAGTCAAGCAACGGCATGATTATAACTGATGCTGCTACGAGGATGTGATGCTATTTATATGGTTTTGTGGTTGGTCCGAAATTGGGACAGGCGTTTTACCTTATGTTTGGGGTCCTGGCCTTATTTTAAGACACCTGGATCCTTTCATGTACATTATTCTGACATGAGAAGCCTATTGGGGGCCCGGATAGTACAAGACCGATCTAAATTGTGTTGGATCTGTTAGATGTAAAATGAGAGACAGTAGACAGATGTAGAAGTGAACAATTGTCTTTATTAATGATTGATTACAGGTATACAGCCCCGAGGGGATGCATCGAACAGACGCGAGGGTCCGGAGAGATGCGAACGAACAGTCACGCCCTTCGTGTATGGGCGGCTAGGGATAGGGCGCTGATCTGCGCCAGCTCCACCGGTCTGCCTGCGTCCGTTGGATTCATCCATAACATTAGGGCCTCTTTTGGTTCATGGGATAGTATTATCGTAGGAATAGGAATTTTGTAGGAAATGAGATGACATCTCAAATTCTATGAGTAGGAATAGGAAACGAAATATTATTTAGTTGACAGCAAATGAATTTTTTCATTGAGTTTAGGCTCATTTTTATTTTCCTATGAAATGTGGAGGATAGCAACCAATCTTATGTAGGAATAGGAATCCATTCCTATGAACCAAAGGGATTTAAAAGAAAAAAATCTTATAAGAATCATATCCTCTAGAATTCCTATAAAATTCCTCCAAACCAAAGGAGGACTAGATCTGTCTCCTTTCAGTCATGATTGTCTCTCAGTCCCGCATCTCGCACGCGTACATGAAAAATAAAGATGCATCCACCTTCTTTTCAACTGCTCACGCACAACTCTCTCCCATGCGTCTTCCCATGTTTCTACGCACTGACGATTGCAACACCCCATGGCACAGGTTCCAGCTCTGTGTGCAAGTGGTACCAACACCCTGCGCTAGTCGAAAAAAATGGCCACTCGTCGTTGTAGCATTCGCGATTGGCGTCGCAGCTTTCTGCGTCATCGGTCGAAGCTTTTTGAGTTGCCGTTTGCAGCTTCTGCCAACGCCGGTCATATGTGGAAAAATGGGAGGAGTATGATATTTGATATGATGCCAAGACTCCTGCAAACCTAGTGGGAAAAATAAGGAGAAAATATTGCAACATACAATAGTTATCGTCTCATTTAACTCAATATGCGAGAACCATACCAATTACATGAACATATTTATGACATGTGGAAGTTGGTAGAGACTTTATGAACAAATCAGTCACATGGTTTGACTTGCAAGATATGCAATATAACGATATTGCTTATCACGTAACCTGTTTGCATCCAAGCAACACAAGCAACATTATCTTTGAGATAATGGTTGGTGGATGTAGCCACGAGGTCTGTTTCGAAGGCTCTCATGAGATGGCTATCACATAGCAGGAACCCAAACCTTGTCTATGATCTGACATAGTAGGGGGATCTGATCGATGTATCCAATGATATTGGTGTCCAGATTTATCTGAAACTGAAAGATAAGGACAAAATGTTCGATGCCTTGACGATATCCAAAGATATTCTTGAGCCCCAACCAATTATGTGTGGTGGGTCCAATGGCACTAGGATGTGAAACTATATGTCCCAATATCGCATTCCCATCAAGTCATGGTTTTAATGGATCTTTCTCTACGTCTAGAGGACGAAGCGATGCGAGTTATGGATGCATAAAATTTGGCCATGATGAATTTCTTCAATATATTTTGGATATAGACAACATGGTGTACCATAATGTATGATTGAAGGTGCTCGAGGTTTTACCCACATCCTTCATCTCAAATTCCGTCATTTAGATGATCACATGCTTAACATGTGTGGATAACATCAGTGTAGGAGTAATCCTTGTGAATAAGGAACTCACTACATCGATTGTACCAAAATATACCGACAACAATAAGCCGTATAGTGACTTACTAATTTTACACAATGTATGTTTTATTTTGCATTTCGATCCAGAAGTGAGATTCCAACGGGAACCATCTATGTCTGAATCTAATGATCCACATGAATATGTAATCACTACACCTATCAAATGCATAGATATATGATTTTGTACTGCAATGATATAAGTTATCGAAAAGAGACTCCACCTCTAAAGAATAGTTGGGTATCTGCGTGAACCCTTGTGCTACAATACTTGCTCTGTGTTTCACCACCTCGTTGTTCTCAATTCTGCTTCCAGAAGAAAACTGGTGTAGGTATTGCTTATGAATACCTTCCCATTATTGAGCAAGATTATTTATACCTAGATTATACCCGTTGCTTGAGTTCAGTCTGAGTGTTGTTCATACTTTACCATGGCCATGGTCTTAGGGTCTGAATCATTTGAAAGGTTTTGCAATCTAGTTGAGAAATGTACGTCGACAATTGTAGACTTCCGATTATATGTTTCTCTAGAATCTTATATCGATATATAGTTGATGGAAACATCGTTACCCATGGTGACTGCTCGCGATTTCCTAATACAGTTGAGTCGGGTATTCCGATGTCCCGATCAATGTGCGCACTATGACCTGCGTTGGTGGAGGTTTCCCATCTACTAGGTGTATGCTACCCATTAATTAGGTGTTTGTTAACGTGAAGTTGACTTGCATTTACTGATTCAGAGGCCTCAATACCCTTGCTTGCGAGAAGTCGAATCCTGATGTACTTTTTCCATACATCTCCTCCTGTTGCTTCGAACGGGGAGTGGAGTAGATTTTGTTGGTACCTTCACTCTTTTCAGGCATTTTTTGCAGGATTGTAGGATTGTGTGACACCTTTATAGTCAGTAAATGAATTAGGCAGGTTATTTGCAATGTGTTGCAAATCTTCTGAACTCATGGGTCAGATCTTTGAGTGCATGGATTTGAGGTAGAAATGTGTTGAATATTCCAATAATTTCCTGGCATTCTTTATGGTACTTGAAATCTCCCCCTAATGCCTGGAAAAGTTCACCATTGAATCAACATACTGGCCTTGAATAACTCCCCATGTAAGGGGCTTGAGGTATTGATGGCAATACAGTTATCCCTAACATAGATCCCAAATATATGTTGAGGGGCCAATGATATATGCGGGGGTGGTGATATCGGTATGTAGCCGAGTTACCGCAGATTGCGAAATACTTGGTAGATTTCCATGTATCAAAGATAGAGGGGAATAATATTATGCAGTTTGGTCACGAGCGTGTAAAACTACATAAATCCAACGTAAAGTTAGTAAGTTGCAATTCCAGAGTAAAGATAATGCAATGAGCTTAACTCTTTGGATAAAGGATTCTACCAAACCATTTTGAGTCTAGACATTGGCACAAAGTGCTAAGCTTCTATCCTACGGCCATATTAAAGGCACGACGGAGAATTATGCAATGTTGCCCATTTGATTTGCTTGAAATCGATGGTCAGGATAATCAACAAATGGTTTTCATGTGGATAAAGACACACTTGAGACCATCATGTAGATGTGTCTTTTAAAACCATGGAATACCCGAATAGTCTAGTCAATAGTTGGGAAGAGCCACTTACCTTGACTTGATGCATTCAAGGAGTTTGAGTGGTTCAGCGTAGACTTTAAGGTGCACGAGCCTTAAAATTAGCTTCCCTGCATCACATGTAGTGCGAAAATCCAAATATTGTTAGAATTTGGCATCATAATAGTATAACCAATGGAATTGCTGATAGTTTTTGTTTCAACCCAATATCACGATGACCAAGGCGAGTATGCCAACTTTGTCATGCAGAAGACATTCTGGAAAACTATCTTGTACGCAACATGCGCTACGGGTTGTGTAGTATGTGTAGTACAATCTAGAGGATAAGGAGATAATGTGTTTGCCATATCCGTACATGGTGAAGAGAAAATATTCCTCTCTGTTGTCATCATAAGTTCCGCTATGGAAACTATTTTGATGGATATCTCCATAGTTCATTAGGGTATGAGTTGAACCGGGACACAATAAAGCATCCTTGATGGTACTCGAGTACCCATAGGGATAGTAAATATGACCCGAGTTGAGCCAACAATTACCTCATCGCGTATAGCGATTTCAAAATATCTCATTCTCTCTCAACAAGAGTGGAAACATTTTACTTCCCTGAGTTCTGGTGCATATATCTACAATACACATATCATCTTTCATCAGATTGACCCCCATAGAAATCTATATATAGACTTGAGGATTCTCAATATGAAAATCACTTCAGATATATAGAATACATACAAATGTATTGTACCAAAGTGCTGATACAATATATTGTGATATACAATATATGATGACAATAATACTTATGTTCTTATTAGAACAATAGAAATGGACATAAATTATATTGACCACCGAGGAGATTGAGAGACTATTTATAGTCTCCAAACATATCAGTTGAGACATATTCAACCATCACTTTCTCTGTGCCCATAGGGTCCTATCACCGCTAGTGATGTCGTGTTGAAGGTTGAAGTGAGCTTCAAACCTTTTCCCTTGAGGTCATTTGCATCCCAGGGATTTCTAGTACAGAATAACCAAATGCTGAGATCTGGATCGATATAATACCTTACAATGTATAAGGCAACATATTTTTTCTATTAGCGGTGTGCCTCCGACTGGAGGTGGATCCACGGGTCTTGAATTGCACACATTATCCCATGAGACACAAGAGCGATCATGATGCCCATGACCCAGGTGGGGTAGTGGTGGCCATTGAGGGCCAATGCCTCAAATTCTCTAGCCATCACTTACCAGAGATAATTAATTTACACTAGGTAAATTAAAGACCACCATGGTTAGTGTTATAATGAATTTTGAAAAATTAATGAGATTTCAAGAAGTTGGCTTGAAATCATTAGTGTGAATCTCAAATTGCTAAGTATGACACCTTGAAGATAATCTCCAAAATGGAGTAGATCTCGCATCGTATAATTTGATGAAATCAGTAGATACTCACTCGGAATGTCTTATGTCATGACATAGTAAAATGTGCGGGAGAGCACTTTGTAAAGCAATCATAATGTCAAAATGACAAAATGTAAGCTTCAACATTACTGGTGATAATCTGCAAAGCAATAGATCTACACACTACCTTGTATCCCAATACATCAATTTGAAGAATCACTAAGAATTTTGCATCCATATTTGCAAGAAGTTAAAAATCTCAATTGCAAATAGATATAATTAATCTCGACATGTGACATGGAAATATATTACATCAACTTAGGTTCTGGAATACATTGATACTCAACAGAAAACAATACTGAAATATATGTAGTGAATTTAACAGGTCTAAAACAGGAATGAAATCACTGCTAGAACTAACTTATTTGGCTGATGGTCGCCTAAATTTCAAGCGCATGCACATAGG